CCATCTTCCTTCTGTGTTCCCTTCTCCTATTCAGGCCAGATACTCTGTCCTAAAAATGCGACTCCTCCCCCAATCCCTCCTCTACCCCCACGAAAGGCGCACACACCTGCACACTTAGCGTGTGGGTGTCTCCACAACCCTTCAGTGATTTGCGCAAAAGTGCTGAAGAAGTGGGAACACTCTGCGCCCCGCTCCCAACCTCTGGAGTCAAGACCACCCCGACTCATGACAAGCACACGGCTGCACCTGGACAGGCCAAACCTACATTCACCTGTCACCCTGGGTAGAGAGAGGCAGGGCGGCTTCCACGCAGGAAGTGGGGTCAGGAGACCAAGAAGAGAAAGGGTACTTACTGTCCCTCTAGGTCACTCAGGAAAGTCTGTGCAGGCACAAGAAATTTAGGTCAAAGTGGCCACAAGACCGTTTAACAGGAGGCAGACAAATGTAACTCCAAGTTCATCGCTCGACACTAGAGCTGTGTTTGGCATCTTGACTTTACCAGGAGGGAGCGGTCTGCCCTCTCCTGGACCCCTCCCCTTGCTCCTGGGCCAAAGGAGACCCAGCCCCAGGCCTGGAGGGCGGAGACTCGGCGGCTGGGCCAGCACTTCCGCTCGCCACTGACACGTTGACCCTCCCCCTCCCTTTTCCGTCACCTACAGCTGCCGGTTGTTGGCGAAATGAAATGAACTGATTTTATATTTTGATCTTAAACTACAGGGCTCAATGCTCTAACCTATGCAGAAAGTTAGATCGTGTGCAAGTAACAGTTTTATTTCTTCCTTCTCCATTCTTATCTTTAAATCCCTCTTCTGTGCTAGCTGGGACATCCTGGGCCACACTGAAGAGAACGGTAACGAGGCTAAAGACAACGTGGATCCGACAGGGGCCCTGACATCGTGCAGGTGGGGGCGTCACCGCGCGAAACCACCTCAGGACGTGTCCCTGTGGACCCCGCAGGCCAAGCACTGCCTTGGCCACGAAACCCAACTCCCCTCTCAGACTGTGCACCAGGAGACAGGGACTAGGGAGTCGTTAAGGCACCACTCTTAACAGCAAAACACTGGAAGGCAGCCACAGCTCGACACCAGGAGGACTGTTCATGGAGACACAAGAGTCTATAAACAGCAACGAAAACCACAGAACTACTGCTGTCAACACGGAAGAACCTCAGGAGCACAGTGGGTCAAAGAGGAAAGTCGCAGCACACACCCAGCAAGACTGTATCACGGGTACTCGAGAGCATGTGAGCTGAGAAGACACGGGCCTCACCACCCATCTGCTCTGATGGTCCACCTGGCACCACCGACACGTCATCCGTGGACAAGGTGCTCGTGCTCAGTTCTCCAGCCAGAAGAGGAGGATGCTGCGTAGCCCGCTTCACCCTAAGCAGACTGTCTGCGAACTAAGTGGGGAGGGCCCAGGAAGCAATCAGCTATAAAGCCACTCCAAGAATGTTCTTACAGCCTGTCCACAGACTGCTGCTCGGTGGCCTTGGACACCTGCTGCAGCGAGGTCAGGAATGTGAAAATGCACTTGCTGCCAGAGTGCTGCCCCAGGGCTGGTGCAGGACACCGAGGCTGCCGGGGGTGGAAAACAGCCAGCAGAGGCTGCCCTGCACCCAGTCCTGCCAGGGACACGCTGCTGCCCCACCCATGCACCCTTAGGATGGGAAATGTGTCACTTGGACTGTGATGTGTAGCTCTGCACACTTGGTACTTTTCCCTCATAGGGTCCAAAACACACACTTGGGGGTGAGAAATGAGGAACAGTGCCAGGTAAATGCCTTCCATTTAACTTGTGGGATGTTTCAACACAAATATGGGAACTCGGGGTTAACACCAATACAATTTTTCCTGAAGTGTTTGGCAACTCAACCTTAACACAACTGTAAATACAACTGCCAAATGTTTCCGGGCAATATCATTAGATTTTTAAAAACAAAGTTCTTACAGGCTGATAGAGGAACAAAAATTTAAAGACAAACTAGACAAGGGCTGGGGGGCAGGCTGTGGGCTGCAGGGGGCCCAGGGGCGTCCTGCTTCCTCCCTCATGCAGCTAGGGGCTCTGGGGTCCACTCCAGATTCCTGACACCCACGAGCTACGTACATTCTCTGGAGCCATGCACTGCTGCGTAACACAGGTGAGGGCTGTCTGCCCAGGCGGCTGAGACACGGCGAGATCGGGGGAGAGGCTGCTTCCGCTGCACCGGCGGCCCAGAGCCTCCCCAACCCTGGCCGGGGTTTTCTCACACAAAGGCCTCCTCTCCCCTCCCACATCCACTGTGGGCCTTGACAGGCAGCAGCTGTGAACTAAACTGTCTCCACTAGGAGCTTCCTGGAGGAGGACATGGTCTGAAGATTTTTGGGAGGGTATCAGGATTGGAAAGAGCAGGCAGCCTCTAGGGCTGACGGTCCACTCGGTTTGGATAAAAACTCGGTGTCCACCCAAGTCCTTCACCAACATACTAATTTACAATGGTTTTGGCTATTTCAGGTTTTCACCCACCACACCAGCCAGATGTGGGGCATATTCTTGGACGCTGACCACCATGGAGGGCAGCTACCCTCCTTCCCAGGACCAGACAGCTGCTTGCAGGAGTGGCTTGGGAGCCACAAGGCTCAAGTTTCAACCTGTGTCCTGTGGAAATCACACAGCTGCAGTTTCCTCACTCGTGACGTGAGGCTGACGATGCTTGCTGCACACAACTGTGTGGCAGAGAACACGCCAGCCTGCACAAACGTGCTTTGAACGATACCTGACACTAGCGTGTGACTTTCTTTCTACTGAGGTAAAACTCGTACATAACACGTTAGTTTCAAGTGTACAACACAATTCAATCTCGGTATACGCCAAAAAGTGATCACCACAGTAAGTCTGGTTGCCAAATATCACCGTACAATCGAACCCCCGCACCCATTTCATCCCCCAACCAAAGCGTGATTTTTTCCTAATGCCGACCCCTCCCCAGGTGGCCTGAGGGACCGAGCGCAGCAGCCCTCCCTAGCTCAGCACTGCAGGGCCACCACCAGAGGCAGCTCTGGGCTCTGAGCTTTCTCTGCGACGCCATCAGTATCAACCACCTGCAGGGAAGCCCAGAACTCAGCACAGAAGGAGTAAGTCTGTGAAGAGAGACGCACCCAACTGAGCAGGGAGGTTTCTGGGCAGAACAGACCCTCACTCCTCTGCCGCCACAGGACGAGTTCACGGAACACTGCCTACCAGGATGGTGCGCTCTGCTTTTCTGGACAGAATCTGTTTTCTAAAACAGACGACTTTACATCTTGACAGTACCCGCCAGGCGCGCATATGAAACAGGAGTAAAACCCAGAATGTGTGGGGAAGGGCCAGACTGGAGATCTATTTCCAGAGTCCTGGTGGGTTTCCAGGATCCTAGAGGAGGCATGTGGGAAGGCCGGGAGAGCAAGTGATTCTTTACGTCCTGAAGCAGGGCTCCAAACAGGAAGTCACGGCGCACCCTGGGGCATTCACAGCATCTGGGGACATCTCTGATCATCCCAACTTGGGGAGGGGTGCTGCTGACCCAGAGGATGCTGCCCCCCCACCCTTCGTGAAGAAGACAGCTTCCGTGTCCAACAGCAATGCTTCCAAGGAGGAGATGCCCTGTTCCAACTTAGTAAACTCAGCTCTGTTCAGTCTTAGTCTGCTCAGCCAGCCCCTTAGGCATCAGCCGACTCTTCTCCTTCCTTGGACGCCCAGCTTCTGAGTTCTCACAGGTGCTGCCCCTCAGAGCACATGCGGCTTCTCAGCCAGAATGTTTGTTCAGCCTGGCACCAAGTTCCTCCCCAGCGTCCAGGCCACATCCAGGTCACCTGTTTCTACTCATCTTAAAAGCTGTGCAGGCCGTCCCCAATGCCTGAGAAGCCTGTCGACAGCTGTTGGAGGGCCATCACACTGACACACCCTCGCCCTGGGCACACGAGGGGCCAAGGAGCGTCCTTCCTGTGTGCCGTTCGAGAACACAAGTGATACCCAAGACAGGAGGAACCAGACAACCCCTGGGCAACAGTCTCACAGTACTGTGTGTTTTGCTTTGAGGTGCATCTGCTCCTAAAGAGACACCTTGCGCTGTGTAAGCTGAGAATGTTGGTTTCTGGTAGCAGGACAGGTCAAACGGCTTCATGAAGGAAGGATGTCAAGGACTCACATCACCAGCCCTCCCTTTCCACCTGACGAAAGGGCCAACACGGGCTCTGAAGACAAGCTTTCCTTTGGCAAAGTGCTGAGAGCCCCCCCAACTATGAAAGTACCCCGGGGGGGTTCTGATTCAAACAGCTCCCAGAGAGGAAACAGCACAGCCAGGCTTCACACGTGAAGCCCTGTCCCCAGGGACAGCTCAAGACCCTGTGGGCCAGGCCGGGGCCTCCTGAGCTCCCTGGGGAGCGGCATGGGCACACCCTTCAGAACACTGCTGTGTCTTCAGGACTCTGAGGCCCCCAATAAAACCCCCTCCTGCTCCATTAGCCAAACATCAGTGTCTGGAGAATTCCAAGAGTCAGACTCTGACATGGGAATGGGTACTCTCCGGTATCAGGTACCCTTAGGCCCAAGGGGAGGCGTCCCAGAATCAGGACAGGACTTGAGCTGGGAGGGGTCACAGAGGCCGCTGAGTTCAAGCCCCTGTCTCACTCAGGAGAGTCTGCAGTGACCATCCCAAAGCAGTGGGCGTGACTGAGGCGGCCCGGGAAGATCAGCAGTGTGTCCAGGTCGGTGCTCACACTAACCTGCGTTCAAAGACATGGTTACGTACCATGAAGCTAAGGGAACATTTAAGCAAAAGCATAAACTGACATTTCTCTTTGTCGACAGAGGCCCTCTGTAGGCCTCTAGGATAGTACTGGAAGGAAGCCACCCGCTGGGGTCACGGGTGTGAATATTCCCCTCCACTTCCCAGATACACCAGACTCTGATTCACAGTATCTGCATTCTCCAGCATCAAACACATCTCCTTGGTTTTCTTTCTTAACAGGTAAAAACCATACCTCCTCCCTGCATCATCTTGTAGATTTTGCTCTCGATGTGGAGCTGAGGGTGTTTGGTTTTGACACACTCAAGCTTGATGGCAACTTCTTCTCCTGCAGCAATGTCCGTACCTTGGGAAACAAAGAAAATCACCAACATTAATCATTTGGTGCCTCCCCTCAACCCAAGGCTGCAACACACTGGAGAAACAGCCAGGGCTACCCGAAACTTCCAAGAAAGACCAAAGGATGGACATACTCTACTCTCTACTGTAAGATGGTGTCAGTGTCACTTTTTACAACAGGAACATTTTGTACGTACAGAAAAGTCTTATTCGGCATTCTACCGCACACTTCCGCGTGTCCCTACTCTGACCACAGGGGACCCAGAGACAGACCCCGTGGTTCTCTCTGGAGGACTCTCACCTTTTCTGGTCTGAACCAACCTCTCCAGCCTGATGGTCGGCCCTGTATTCACCCATCCAAGGCCAGACCCCGGAGAGTCCCAGAGCAACACATTCCGCATGCCCCGTTTCTCCATGCTGCCTTGACAGGCCTTTGGGCGTGTGAGCCTTTCTCTAGCGGGAAGGCTGGGTTTCTGATGCACACCCACCTAGCCTCAGTCCATCCCCGTCCATGTGGCCCCGGTACTGAGCTGTGTGCAGCTCTGAACAGGCTAGGCGCTTCTCAAGGCGGCTTGTTTTCCACAACGTGGCAGGAGCCATCACTCACCCATCACAGGCCAGGCCAGGCCCAGGGAGGCCCAGCACACCTCTCCCTTCCTGAGGACAAGGACATCACTGGACCAGGGCTGGGCTCTGTTTTCAAAGCCTTACCCACACCTATGCAACGTGCACTTTTCACTCACCTTTTGCTAGTTTTGTGCTAAAACCAGCAATCCACGCGCTCATACCTCCTGATTGCCAGCCCATTAAGATTAGTTTTTATCTCAAAATGCCATTCTCTTACTCCAGTAAGGACCTGCAAGTGTGACAACCGCCCTCCAGGTTCCACATGTGAACACTCCCGCATGCCAAGCTGCCCCAGCTGTACTACAAGACCTTCGCTCCCTCTGAGTATACGCACAGTAATCCTTCCCAGTAGCATGATTACTTGAGAAGGAGTTAACACCGGCTCCAACAGCCCAGATGGAACCTGAGACACTGCCTTCCCAGGGAGACTCGCCCTGCTGGGCAAAGCAACCCGGCCAGTCCTCGGCAACCCAGCCTCTATCTGAGCTTGGTGGGGAGAGCTGCCGTTTGCTGCGTGAGGGAGTTGTGGGGATGAATGGGTCAGTGGTGACAAAGCACTCTGAGATTCCCAGAGGAAAGGCAGAAGAAGGCTGGCAAGCATCAGAACAGCAGCGGCCTGCAGGAGAGCTGCCCGCTGGGGTTCACACGTTCAGGCAATGCTCAGGAACGAGAGAGAAACGTCCTCCTCTGGTCGCTCAGACTAGCCTGAGAGGCAGCCGCTTCCAGCGACCCTGGATCCGAAACTGGTCACCAGTGCGGGGGGTTCCATGGGTGTCACCGCCATTTGATCACTGCCAGTGACCATTCTAGATTTAAAAATTTCACTTTCCATTCCACAAAAGATGCCCGGGCACTCCGAAGAAAGACAGGTAATGCATACACTTCGTTCCTCCTTCTGGCCTGAAGCTGAGACAGTCTATCTACTTACAACAAAAATGACTTCATCGTAAAATGCATTGTGCAAATGAAAGCTGAACTCAGAGTTCCTGCAGGACCTGGAACGCTGAAGTGAACTCACCAGCCCAGGAGGAACTGATGACTCACTCACTAGTTACGTCAGCAACTCCCCGCACCCCAAAGCAGGAGCAGCGAAGGCTACGGGGAGCACTGTCACCCTCGCCAGGAGGCACGTCCTCAGTGACAAGAGAGCCGGGGCCTGCACAAGCTGCCCACCCAGCTAGCTCCCACTGAACAAGAAGGCCGAGAACACTTCCAGCTCCAGTGCACTGCGCCTCGTAAAGCTGATGTCTGACAGTCACCCTGCAATCCTGGGGCCTGGGGACAAATGACCACAGACAACTCTGGAACACAGTATGAATTCCATCCTCCCCCAGGATCACACCAGCAGTAGAGCCAGCCCTCTACAGGACCACAGATGGGAAGGTCGCCGAGTCTGCTGACTCGAAGAGGAGAGGCTGGACAGGGGTTCTCTGCCAAACAGACCTGTGTGCAGCACACACTCTGGGCCACCTCCCCTGAGAGGTCGTCACCCACTAGGAGAAGCGGCGGACCTTCAAGTCGCGTGCAGTCCATGGGAGGCAAACAGCGACCACTGAGCAAAGCTGCGGCCCCCCAGTCTAGCCCTGCAGTCCCATCCCATCTCCCTCGGCTGACTGCGCTCACTGGCAGTGCTGCTCCAAGTCCAGTCTAAACTGCCCCCAGCCCGTGAGGGGACAGATGCAGGACAGCGCGGAAGCTCCGCGGAGCTCGGACAGCAACGTAACTTTGCTGCAACCTTTAGTCTTATTTTACAGAAGTGCTGGTCTGCAACAGATTGGAAGTGACAAACCTGGTTGGGCACACAGGCGACTACGAGAAGTACTTCCACACGGGGAACGAGAATCTAAAATATGCCACTGAGCTCTGGGTTCCAGGTTCAGGGAAAGTCAAAATCAGCGGCACGTCCCGTTTATCCAGCGCCTACTTACAGTGAGGTGCTCTGTCTCCCAACCACCTCAGCTCTGCCGTGCAGCTGCAGAGCCAGCCAGCCAGGAGTCCCCTCACCAGGGGAAGAGGTGAGTCTGTGGTCCTTAGAAAACAACATCATGTCCCTCAGGTTGAGCAAAGGCAGATGATAAACTAAGTGAACTTAATCCCACGCTTGACCCTGTCCTGGGACAGAAAGGTAACTGATGACCAACTTATCGAAGAGATGGGGCGAGGCCTTTGTGGCAGGGCAAAGGTCACTCTCGCAGGGCAACCACTGACGAGGCAGCAGACACGGTACCACGACTTCTCACTGGAAATGCTTGGGCCCCCACCCTAACACACACAGGCAGACAACTGGGAAAACTGCCCTCCTCTCCTGGCCGGCCAGCCCCCATTTTGGAGCCCCTACTGTGTGCCAGACACCCAGCTAGGTGCACCAAAGAGAAATGAAAGTCAGTAGTGGGAGAAACATGAAAATCAAACATGAAGAGGTTACTAAGCTTTCGCTCCCAAAAGGCATTTGTGTACCTTATGAAGTCAGACCGCACAGTCCACCGGGGTTAACAGGTGGACAGGCAAGGCCATCCTCTGACAAACCGATGAAGTGACAGGATCGAGTAGAAATGCCAACAGCTGGCAGGAGAAAACCTCCGTTTCATCTATGACAAAGGGAGGGGGTCCGAGGACCCTGCCACCGTCCCCAGGAGACAAATAAGGACAAGAACAGAGCTCCAGGGGAACAGAGGCTCACGCTGTCTGGTAAGGAATGGAATACCCAGCAGGGCACAGTGCTGCCTGCCCACATCAGCATAGCAAGCAGCCGGAAAGGGGGGCCGGCACTGGGTCTCCTTGGTCCACAAAGCACTCAGCAACCTGAAGGACAGCTTCTTCCTCCTCCCAGCTTCAAACAGCTGAAAGCATGAAAAAGTCCCAGGCGGAAATCCAAGACCCAAACCCCAGGCTTAAAACAAGGTGAAGCTCCCTGGAAGAGTCAAGAGCATTGTGACCTACAGCAAAGTGACAGTAGTAGGAACGATTTTAATTGTCACACCAGAATACAGAGGACGTACCAATTTTTAAGACGAGGACCCAATTCCTTAACTAATCATTAATTAGTTAGCTAACAAACAGAAAAAAACTGTGGTACAGAGGACTCAGTCCATCCAGTCTTTGGATCTGCCCTCCTTGGCCTTTAACTACAGTGTAGGGTGAGTTTCCTCTGCCCCACCATTCCAGTCACACCTTAATCTAAAGAAGATCACTTCACATTTCCTCAGTAGGGTAGCACAGAACCTGAAGGGACTGCCAAGGGACAATGCTGATTGAAAAAGAAATCAGTTGTGCCCAACCCCATACAAGCAACTTCCAGTATGCTCCAATGAGCAGGATGTGCGCGTGCTCAAAACGAGGGCGGGAGAGCCGCAGTCCACCTCTCCTAGAATAAGCACGCAGGAGACCGAGGACAGACCCCTCTGGGACCGGTCAGCCTGATCTGTATCAAGCGCTCCTGGTGCACCCAGAGGCACAGCTGTGAGTAAGCCCTCAGGGTCTCCCACAAAGCTCCCAACACTTCTATGAACGACTTGGTGACAACACTCCCCAGTGTGACTGAAACCAGCTTTAGAAAGCACAGGGCTGCTAGCAAGGCCTCAGACTAGAGAACAAAAAGTTTCAAAACACTGACTTTTTGATGCCCGTGTAAGGGTGGCTAAATGGACTGGTTTTCCAGTACAGCCGCTAGATCCTGAATTAAAACTTTTGCCAAAATCCATTGTTCTATAAATAAGGCAAACAGCTTGCATTCACCTAGCATTCACCTCCCAAAACACTGCTGAGAAGGCAGCCCCTGATTACTGGACATAAATATTTAAGTAGCAAAATCCAAGAGTCTCTCAAGCGCACTTTACTCAGCAGGATGGTGAAGCACAGAGCAGCGTGACACGGGCACCCCGGGGTAGGGCACCAAAAGCCGTCCTGAACTGCCCCAGCGTGGGCTCCTCGCAGACCATCAGCCCAGAGGTCATGCGTCCTCTCCAGGCGACAAGAGGCACGGATGGGGCGGTGAGCACACGCACTGGGGACCCTCTGAAAGGCATAACAGAAGCGTTACTGACACACAAAGCTATGCCCGACCCTCCCTGACAAGCACACCAGCCAGAGAGGAACACTGCGGAGCGGGCTGCGCAGCCACAGAGCATGTTTACCCCCAAACCTGCGCAAGGACAGTCCCTCTGCACACACAGCGTGTGCCAGGCTGGACATCCCCAAAGGCGTGGGTAGGAGCAACTTAAACACAACTCCTCTGAAAAACGCCGATAAATTATTTTTCAACTTCCAACGTGAAGGTTCAAGCCAACCTCTTACCACCCATGTATCTGTGCGCATTCTTTCACGGCGAACTGACACAATCCAGAACATTCTAACCCCGTATCTTCCACTCTACCTTGACAA